TACCAAAAAAAAAAAAAAAAAAGACAAGGTTTCAGAGATGTCTTTTTATTTGCAAAACCAAGCCCTTTGAGGAACCACCAAAAGCTACTACCTGCTCATGTTCTGAAATAAAAGGATACATGAATTATAGTGATTTTCATAGGCCAAGGTTCACAATACTGACAAAAAACATTTTGGTATAGATGAGAAAAATACATTGATCTTTTTAAAAAGACATGGTTTCAAAGAAAACAGGAAAAATCAAGTTTGACCTTTTCTTTGGATCTCATCCACTCTTTTTTCTGCAAACTCAGTTTTGAACACTCACGATAGCTTCGAAACAACATGAAAATGTGAGGCTGCTGATGCCCGGTGATGCAGCAAAGTGTGAGCAATGATTTAAAAACAGGGAACCTGGCCTCTCAGCTTTAACCCTTCCTTCCATGACTTTATGTGTGATGTTGAACAATTCCACTGTTTTATGTTGGTGAAATATTCATAACATTGTGATAATCCTAAAGGTTTCAGCCCCTTACCTATAAAAGGATATAACTGGGGCTTCTAACTTAAATACTAACACATTTCATTTAAGCTACAGACAGCATTGTGGTAATGAGACTGATTCAATTATTTTTGTACATCTGATGTTTCAGATACAAATTTGTTCCAAACTCAATCTGTTCTGCCTATCTCTAAATGGCTGAAAGCAACTGGTCAAATGTGAGGAACACCTAAATTCCAGGTTTAGGCAAAGCAGGACGCAATTATTTTAGATCCTCTGACCAGCTCTCCAATGAAGCAAGCTTTTGCTTGTCTGGTTTTAAACGGAGTTCTCATGTCTGATAACAGGTTTTTTGTTGCTCTTCCAGAACAAAATATTCTCATTCTCCCTATCTTGCCCTCTCTTTTTCTACAATCATGCAACTTGTATAAGAGCCAGAAAAACTTTAACAAAAAGTGGTTTGTCTGGAGCCACAGGAAATTGGGGAGAGCAGGAAAGTTAAAGAACAGGGGGAGACTGGCAGGAACAGATGGGACAAAATTTGGTACAGTAAAACAGGGCAGTGACACAAGAAAGCGTGGTACATTGTTCAAGTGCTGAGGACATGACTCATTTGAAATCTGGCCACTGAGTAGGGAATCCTTAGGTGAGGCGAATCTGGTCTTACTAAATGCTGGCATTTAAATTCTCTCTGGATAATCAATTCTTTCAACTTGGCCCACTTGGAAATGGTCAAGCTAAATTGGCCAAGGCCCAGATCTGGGTGTATGTGTGTGTGTGAATGTCCAATAAAATCTTTTGTTATTTAGCATGGCAGGGCTAGTTATTCAGAAGTGCTGGATAATTAAAAAACACTTCACATTCAGCAAAATTTTAATTTATTAAAGTGATTTTAAAGGTAAATTTGATGAGATTATACCTGTATTGTCTAGTGAAAAATTAATACATAATCACCAAAGCTAGTTTCTTAAATCTGTTTGGCCAGCTTTGGGAAATATCAAACACTTAGTGTCAATCCAATTAACAGAATGAAAATTTGTGTTGCATACCTGAGGAATGTTTGTTCTTACAGCTTCCTTAGTTGGTAAAAACTGAGCAGCAGCACTTTTAACTGTATATATGTATACTTGAGCACGCATTAATACAAGTGATGCCCTAAAATCTAAAACCTACAGGCCACCAACTATCACTTTTACAGACCAATAAAGTTGGAAAGGCAAAGAAGCTAAAAAGTTTTAAAGAAAATATGTGCATTGTAAGTAAATACAACTCCCAACCCCATGCCCTAACACACACACACACACACACACACACACACACACACACACCCCAAAATCCCAAACCACCAGAGCAAACCAAAAGGAAAAAAAAAAGTACACAATGTTTGCATGTGATGAGTTAAAATTTTATACCACAGGATTTATCCAGATTGAAGTTTAGGGTTAAACCATTCACCAAAGATCAGAGGCTTATAATGAGGATTATGAAGAAATAACTGTCAGAATACAGCAAAAAGATTAGTGCAAAGTACATCTCTTAGGCAGGTCCTAGGAGACACTCCAGACATACATTATGTGCTTCCTCCAAATTAGGCAGAAAGATCTGGATCTATCCAGTTACCTTTCCTTTGATGTGATTTGCTGTAACTGACCTCTCTATTTTTGTAGAAACACGATACATAAATGAAAATGGTGAAAAGCACAGCAGTGTGTCTAGAAATCAGTGCAAATGCATACTGTTAGATTATGTTAAAACTTCTCAGCTTCAGTGCATTTTTACTTACAGCACAGTAAATAAAAAACCTTTTCAAAACATTTTGAAAAAACCTTTTGTTGCAGACTGTATCTGCTATTCTAAGTTATACGGCTTCTGGGTGGTATTATACTCATTTCATCATCTGAGAACTTATTTCTGAAAAACAAAAACAAAAAACCTAGCAAACTGATTTTGGTAATTTTATGCTGATACAAAGAGTACCCAACTGATGGTTTTCAAATGGCTTTAAAAAGCATTTTCTTTTGCTTTTTTGAATCCTGTAGGAAGAACAACAACAATTAAGCTCTTATAGCCATGAAACCTCATATTTACCAAATAATTTTACTACATGTTCTTGACATTAAATACTGAAGGTATGTCAACATTTTGAGATTAAATAACTTGTCCTGGTTGGCAGTACTTGAACAATACGTGAATATTTACACCCAGGTACCCAATGTTAACAACTGGAGAAAAATTTAGACACCCTGATGTTTTGTCCACATGATACTGAAAAAAAACCTAAATAGTACCACTAAATATGGCTATTTAGAAGGCTCTAGGCTGATAAGTCACTTGGGGGCGATGTGAGTTCTGCAGAAATAAAATCTGGCTGCCTCTCCCTTTGCCTGAAATAGGGCCAGGCATCATGGGGGCTCAACAAAGTAAGGCTGGCTGGCAGGCCGGCTGGCTGATAGTTTCCCACCAGCCCTTCTGGTAAAATATGAGGGTTACACAGATCATCAGCACATTCACTTCCTCCAAGCCTAAAGATGGAGCTGCTCATCATTTACATTTCATTTCAATTCTATATATAAGAGAGAGAAGAAATTCCCAAAGGATCAAAAAAGGGAGAGTACATTCCAGAGGCTTCTCCAGTGCCAGAGCTTCTCGAGCTCCGGACCTCAGCACGACTGCTGACTTGAGGGTCACAGTCACATGATGTCATGCTCAGAGTGGTGTTGCTTTCAAGCCTTTATCTCCTTTCAGAAAACAAAATCAGCCAGGCTCTACCAGCCCTTCTGTGGAGGTTGGCAGAGCCAGCGGTACAATCGGTTCTAATAGAACTTGTTTTGAAGCAGCTTATGGAATTGCAGTTACTCTCCCTTAATGGTCAGTTTTACTGCATACTGATGGGGAATGTGATTATAGGGTAGACACGTTTCACAGAAAATATCTCTCTCTCTCTCCTACTTTTGTTCTCACTTGCAGCCAATTGTAAATAGAGTCTGAAACACAGAAAATTAGTTGAGCTATATTAGTAAGTAGGATGCCTTTCTTCAATTTTGTATGCTGAGTTTATTTTTAGGGTATATATATGGTATAGATTCCCCCCTCACTCCCCATTTCTAGCAGCTCTACACAGAATCACACATTTTAATGAGCTTAGGGCACAGGTGTTGAGGGAAAAAAAATAATGATGTTTGCCATTCATCTTTCAAATTAAATAATGTGTTTTTAAATAGTAACTTTTTTCATAATACATTATGGGAACAACATTTATCTGTCACATTTTAAAAGATGTATTTGTAATAAATGTAAATTACTTTTAGAAAATCAGTAATTAGGCTCATCAAAAAATAAACAATCTGCCACAAAAAAGATAATCTTTAGCACAGTTAAGTATAATAACTGTTATTTGAATAAGTTAACAAATTAGGGTAGATTGCTTCTGTAATTCATTTCCTATAGCACGAGTTTAGGTTACAGCATTAAGCTTCTGGAGTAGGGGGTGGTGATGGCATTAGGCACCTCATGCTTGGGTGAAATATGGTCTCACATTTGAAAGCTCAAATTTTCTTCTTTAAACTTGATTGAAAAAGCATATTCATCACTGGGCCTTAGAAATGGGAAATAACAGAATCTTTGTGTCACTTTTAGAGATACATCATCGTCTCAGAATTATCAATCAATAACTGTCTCATTAAATATGAAGAATGGAATGACTTTCCTAAAAAATTTGATGGAAATCAGCCTGTCACCTTCAGGCAAAATTCAAAAGTTCTGTTTTTATCAAAACGCCATTAACTTGTCATGTATCCTCTCTGCATTTGCTTTCTGTGCCTGTTCTCAATCTGCGTGTGGATAAATACGAGCCTCTTCTTTAACGTCAACTTCCCCCTCCTGTTTGAATCCTTAGACATGGCCATGATTAGGCGCTGTGACAGCACAGCCTTCCACTGGGGAAGCAAATGTGATGATAGTTACATTAGACAGAAGCATAAAAGGAAGGCCCGGATCAGGAGACGCAGCCTTTAACCTAATCACTGTTCATCTCCAGGCACTGAAGGGAGCGGGCAGCTCTCTGTGCAGGAAACTGAAGTGGGGTGCGCTGCGACTGTGTGTGCATTAGGATTGCGGGCTATTATTGAAATTTGGATAATCTTTTTTCTCCCTCAGTGGAAGAATTTGGGGTCCTAAATTGTTGGAGTACATCCTCAAGTTTTGTATTCTTCTTGCCAGATTGACGTTATATAATAAAGATAACGCCACTAAGAATGTCAATTTTCACTGCTTTTTTTCCTTTTGCTTCAGAGTTGCTTTCATTGTTGAGAGTATTTCTTCTACCTAAATATCTTTTTTAGGTAAATATCTGCCACGACATCTTGCCAGATTGACGTTATATAATAAAGATAACGCCACTAAGAATGTCAATTTTCACTGCTATTTTTCCTTTTGCTTCAGAGTTGCTTTCATTGTTGAGAGTATTTCTTCTACCTAAATATCTTTTTTAGGTAAATATCTGCCACGACAAGTTATTCTGACTAGTCTTTTCTCCTACCACAGTTTTGTTGACTCAAACTCATATTTTAAATACACTCATATACAGCTGGCCCTTGGTATCCAGGGGGATTGGTTCCAGCACTTCCCGTGGATATCAAAATCTGAGGATGCTCAAGTCCTTCAAGTAAAATGGTGTAGTATTTGCATATATCCTATGCACAGCCTCCTGTGTACTTTAAATCATCTCTAGATTACTAATAATACTTAACACAATAGAAACGCCTTGTAAATAGTTATACTGTCCTGCTTAGGGAATAATGACAAGAAAAAAGTCTATACGTGTTCAGTACAGATGCAATTTTCTTTCTGAATATTTTCTATATGTGGTTGGTTAAATCCATGAATGTAGAACCCACAGCTAAGGAGGGCCGACTGCATATGTCATGAGGATTATACGTACCTTTCAATGAGACGATTTTCATGCTTGGAGAGGGTTACATTCTACCTATGCATATTTCTATGTCGTTCTTCATGAAGGTTTAGAAGATTTTCTTCACAGGTTAAAGATTTGGAGCTGGGATGCAATGCGGCCTTGTCTTTTGGCTGATGTGCCTTCAAAGAGAGGTCTTGAACTTGAGATTTGGCTGAAGCAGCATTATGTTCTTCTGGCATTCCAGACACACCCTGTTTTTCTAAACTTTCCTTTTCAATGCCCAGCCCCAAAGGAATAAACTCTGAGCTTTCTGCATAGCCATTGGAAGTTTGGGGTAAAACATCCACTTCCTTTACAACGTTAGTTCCTTTCTGAGGGGGAGGACTTGAAAAGGCCACCATGTCTGCATCATCAGCTAAGAAAGAAAGATCAATGACCTTAGATGGGCTTGCTCTTGCTTGTAGTGGCATTTCAGCTTCAGCAGGAACTGCAGATTCATCCACGGGCTCCTCTCTATCAGAGTCATCCTCAACACAGGCCTCAAAGAAGCATTCAATATCTTCCCTGTCATCTAAGCCAGAGTCAGCAGTGTCCAGTGGCAACGGAGTGTTGCTCTTCTCCTCTATGTAACTGGTGACCTCCCCACAATCACTATCATGAGATGAGAGAGATAAATAGGAATAAAAGTCCCCTTTTCTCAGCTGGATGGGCCGGTGAGAATGTTCCAACACTTTCTCCTTGATTTGAGTTAATGAAGTAGGAGCAGCCACCTCTTTTTCAGGTTGAGATTTACTTTTGAGGGCTGTTGAAGCCATGTCAATGATTTCCTTAACAAAGTCATGTACTGAAGAATCTTCAGCATCTTTTTCATGGAAAACGTCTGGCTCACACTTGCAACAGGAAATGTTGTTGCTGATAGAAGCATTTTCCTCTGTCTCATTTTGTTCAAGTGCTAGGCAGCAACCAGCAGATTTTCCAGCCACACTTGGTACATTCTTAGATGAAGAATGCAGTACATCAGAGTCTTGTCTGGTTTCTAGATCTAGGTCTGGGCAAGACTTCTCAGTGGGAGTGGAAGCAGCACTTTGATTTTCAAAATGGTGGTGATTTGGAGATTTCTTTGGAAGATGTCTAAAGGTTTGGGGAACAAATTCCTTTCCAGCAATATTTGAATCATCTGAACTATCCATAAATGCTTTACACTTACAATGCTCACTCTCTGCAATCTTCTTCCCATTTGAACCAAAATTTTCTGATACCTTTGAAATCTCATACAATCTATCCTTTGGCCTTTCTTGGGTACTTTCAATATTGCCATTTTCCATGTCAGCTACATGTGGATCTTTATTGACTTTGAAAACATTTTTCTTATTTTCACCCTTTGTCCCTAACTCATGGATATGGGATGAACTCTTACCATTTCCATTATTTTCAGAGTGACGTTTTATGGAACCATTTAGAAGGGTCTCAATGTTCAGGGTATCGGAGGGATTGGTCATCTCACTACTACTTACATCTTTATTACCCTTTCCTTCATCACTGAGATCACACCTTTTCTTATCTTTTGTCAGGGAGAATTTTGGCCTAATCCAGGTCTGCAATTCATTCTTTATATAGTCAAGCCCTGATATCAAATTGCATTCTTCATAAATTTCATCATCTGTTGCAATACTGGAGTCATCATCCTCATCTTTGATGCACAGCTCTTCTTCAGTCAAGGTGAGCGTAGAGCTGGAGAGGAGGTCGCTGTCATCTTCATCATCAGTGCAAGCAGAGGTACAAGAGACATTCACGATCATGCTGACATTGACATCGCTTTCATCAGCCACCGAACGAGTCAAGCGCTTCCTGAATGATGTATTCGATTCCGGGATCTTGTTCTTGTGTAATACAATATCCTCTGAGCAAAGAGAGAGCTCATCACTGCTGCTCAGTTCTGTAAGAGATGCTGCCGAGTCTTCATTGATAGAAGATGCTATGTCCAGTGACATCTGGCCAGTAAAGGACATCTTTTGGGAACTGCTTTGCAGAGTGATATCAGAAACACTGCGCTTTATTTTTTGTTCTGAGGGGCTCTGGATATTTTCCAAACGATTCAGGAGATCTAATGTCCTTTTACTCAGCTCACCAACTGAGCCACTGCTCACGCTTATGTCTCCAGAACTGTGACAGCTAAACAGATCTTCATTGCTTTTATAGGATGTCAACCAACTTTCTAAAGAAGTGCTTCGCTGGAGGCTGTCAGTACCATTTTTAAAGATGCCCAATCCAAATAAGTCACCCCCTTCATTGCTTTTATAGGATGTCAACCAACTTTCTAAAGAAGTGCTTCGCTGGAGGCTGTCAGTGCCATTTTTAAAGATGCCCAATCCAAATAAGTCACCCCCTGGAGAAAGGGACTCAATCGATGAACTATGAGATAAAAGGGAGAGCTGTTTGGCATTCTGCATGCCAGTGAATGTCTTTTCTATATCGCCACTTTTATATGAATTGTGATCCATTTCATGGGATGCACTTGCCAAAATCTTTCCATGGGGAGGTGCATCTGGTTGTAACTCTGTAGCCTGATGTTTAGATTTGCAGGATTTTTTATCAAAATAAAAACCACGAAGCAGAGGATCTTCCACATGTGCCTTTTCACTTTGTGACTGTTTCATTATCATTGGTAATTTGAGTTTTGAGCCTTGGAGGTATGAGTAATCATAAAATGTAAACACATCATGTTTTCCTTGTAATTCTTCTCCCAAACAATCAGGAGTATGTTTGGTAACACTGTTTAAATCTCCAACTTTTCCATTTACACAACCCACTGGTGAAATGGATGACTGAGAGCTATTTGGAAGCTTAATGCATTCCCCCTCATCTTTAAATTTTTGCTTTAACACGTTAACTGCATCTCCCATTTGTGGATCCAGATGTTCAGTCTCAAGGTTACTTGGGGACCCATCCACCGCACTGAGCAAGCACATTTCAGAGTTGTTAGTGGTTTCAGTGTCTCCTTCACTGACGATTCCACTCTCGCTACCTGAATTGTGGCTCATGTCTCCTCCGTGGCATTGGCAGGGCTTCACCAAATTAGAACTCCCTAGAAGATCTGGCAAAGATTTGGTAGATGAAAATGAAGAGTCTTTACTGAGACTCTTAGTTAAAACATTAGGCTGTGTCATGCCAGTGAACTTTGGACTGTTTTTCAGAAATGGCATGTGGTTGTCCTCATAGAGTTCAACATTGTGGAGGGTATACACTTGGTAAATGTGTGGACTGGAGGGGGCAGGAGTATTTGAGGCATACCGAGATCCCCCCTGGTCACCTGCCTCCTCTTCATAACCAGGGTCCTCACCACTTGTCTGTTCAAGTTTCAAGGAAGGCATTCCAGGTTGGGGTTCTTGATCAAGATCATTTGATTCTTCATTCAAACTAATTAGCTTATTACTTATATCTGTTTCATCCCATTCCAGGGCATCCTCACTCATCCCATTTAAGTCCATCAAGCAAGGATCAATCACATTCAAAGTCTCCTGTGTAGGAGAAGGAAAAAAAAAAGAAAAGAAAAGAATTAGGGAACACAAGCATGAAAATTTCATTCATTCAAAATCTTCTGAAAAAAGTCAGGAAAGAAAACTGCTCCAAGCATGGATTTGAAAGATACAGCATAATTATCAACTCTATTCCTCTTTGTAATAACATTCAAAAATTATTGAAATGGGCTTTTCTATCAATAGCAATTTGTCACTGAAGGCAATAACATAGATTAAAATGTAAGATTATTACAGTCAAATTGTAATTTATGAAATTAACCATTTCCTATTGATTCTTCTACATTTTAAATCTTGGATTGGGTGAAGATAAAACTGTCAGTTAGATGAAGGTAAAAGAGTATGGCCTCTGACATCTCTTAAGGTACACTCACCCTGACACTGTTGTGGTCCAGTAGCCTGCAGTGGAGTACTACTATCTGCAGCCACACACGGCCAACTCCCTCTTGTCTGGGGACTTGGAATGGAGTTGTAGCCACCACATGAGCCATCCATGACTAGAGGCTCTTGATGGTGTCCCCTTCCTCTGCCTTCCTTTTTAGGGCCTGCCTCTTCAGAACTTGGCCCCGCTCCCAGTGAGACTCTAGACGGTCAACACGTGACTGGTCTCCTCCACCTTCCTGGGCTGAGTGCTCCAGGGCACTTCTTTAACCATGGCTCTCGCAGTCCCCTCTACTCCAGCTGCTCTCAGACAGAGATTTCACTTTGATCCTTGTTACTGTGTCTCATTACTGTCAGTCCTGCCCCTATGTATTACAGACAGGAACCTCCCCCTCCAGCCCACCTCTGGCCCCAGAATAATAACTATCTGAAGACTTTCCTGGCTCTCAAGGATGAAGTAGCCCACAATCCCTCATGCTGCTCTCTGCCTGCCCACTTGGGACCCCTGAGCTTTCCTGGGACTTCCTGGTTTTACCCCTGTTTAGGTACAGCTTGACACATTCTGGGATGCTGTAGTGGGATGGGCTCCTGGGCTATGTCCAGATTCCTTCACCATCCTTACTTGCTGTCCAGCTGTCTGGATTTATGCTAGATCCAAGAAAGGTGATATGTGTACTGCAGGCCCTGACAGCCTCTTCCACAGACAGAAACACAAACAGAACTTAGCAGTTCAGCATATGCTTATTCAGGGTAGCCAGGAGGATGAGTGTGGCTCTAGAACCAGCAGACTGGTTGAAGGCCTGACTTTGCTGCTTACCGGCTGCGTGACCTTAGGCAAGTTGTTTATCCTTGCTGAGCACGTCTCGTCACCTATAAGATGGGATTGCACTGTCTGTCTTTCAAGAGCATTCTGAGTATTAAATGAGCTAATGCTTGTGAAGTGTTGAGGAGGCAGTTGGTATTAGGTCACTGTAATTTTTAACGTATGTAGAATTGTTCAAGTGGCCTTGAGACGATTCATAAAGGATCCCCATGTCCACCTTATTCTCTTTTCTCACCATTCCTTCCAATTTGCTATTAAAACCACAAAGGCTTCATGACATGGTAGGTAGAGAGACGTGTCACACAGTATGACAGGTCAGCATGTTTGCATTACACGTCAGAATATCTTGACTGTCTGGTTGCAAAACACGCCACAATGCTTTAATTCATTGTTAGTGGGGAAAAGCTTCACCTGCAGCACATTAGTAGAACTTTCCTAACAAGACCTCATCCTTCCTGAAACTAATAGTTCAAGGATACCACACAAACACATTCAGTATAAAATACCCGTTAGCGCTTCATCATACTGGATATGTAAGAGATTATCTGTGTAGCCTACTCAAGTTTAAAAGAGACCAGTTACAAAGTAAATATTAATTAAGGGATATTTTTAAATTTTCTAACAGAAATCTTTCCTGCTGCCAATGTTACAGCAGTTAATCTAGTACCTGGCAGTCATCACAGTTGCTTAGGTATGGAGTACATTCCCTGTGATGAATTTTTATTAGAATTTCTGTTTATTCTTTGCTTGCTGATAAAGGAAGTACTAATGACCAGTTAGTACGGCTAATGAATGTTAAAATCTTCAGCTGAAGGAACAATCAATCAGTCTAATCAAATAGTATATTAATTTCAAATACTATCTTGGCTGACATTGTACTCTGAGTGCTAATAAATAATTGAACTAGTCTTTCAAAGGAGCTCTCTTTGTAACTCTCTGGTTGGCTTTTACATTTAGCAACACAGATCTTCTGTGAGGGTCCCAAACTTAGGGGCTCACATGGAGACGCAGGAATTGTGTTATCTGGATGTGCCTGCAGTTAAGACCAATTGACGCCTGCAACTCAGACTTGTCTTCCACAACACAGTCATTTTCTGACCAAATTTTGCCTTTATGGCTTTACCAACTCAAACCGAGAGAGTATAAAACTTACAGTAGCACCTAAAGGAACAAATCCTTTGCTCAATAAAATAGCTGGAGTGAAAAATTTCCAAAGAAAAATACTAAACTTTTGGATGTAATATTTTCCTTTTCTTAACTCTCTCCTCCTATAAACCTCTTAAATTTATTATGGTTTCTGAAAAATGTTTTATGCCAATTCCAGGAAATATCTGACAGGATCCATTAGAAAAATCATTTACTTTAGACTTTCATTTTTTTCGTATTTAAGAAGTGCTTCTCATTCTGCTCTCACTCCTTCCCTTCCTGTTGTGGATTAAATTCTGTCAATATTTTCAATAAAATCTTCATTTCCTCAGTATTTAACCTCAACCATAAAACATACCCCTGGGGCAAGAAAGTGGGAAAAGTTTCCAAGAGAAAAGATGTTAGAATATTTATATAACTAAAAAAGTTGCCTTTAAAAAAAAGATATGCATATATATTGATGGAACTGATGGGAAAATATTTGGTTGAATACTCTCTTCGATGAGAGCCCAACACAGGCAATAACACTCAAGCTAACAAAGTTTCCAAGAGAAAAGATGTTAGAATATTTATATAACTAAAAAAGTTGCCTTTAAAAAAGAGATATGCATATATATTGATGGAACTGATGGGAAAATATTTGGTTGAATACTCTCTTCGATGAGAGCCCAACACAGGCAATAACATTCAAGCTAATTAGGCCTTTGTTGTTTTCCTAGAGGAATTGTTTGGTACTTTTAAAAAGAGGAACACAAACGTTCCTGTCTTTAATAAAGTGATAAATCTAAATGAATTTAGAAAAAATCTGAGAGTATATGGCTGAAACCAAAAGGACGGTGAGTAGTAAATGAGATTCCAATTGAGATCCAGCAATTCCAGAAATAATTCTGAATTAAATTAATTCATGCAAGGGTCTTTCATTCATAAACTTGCTTCATAGGTACAGAATTTTTGCTTAAACCAAGGGTGCTATATAAACAACTATACACACACATACCTGTACCGATCTGCTCAAGGAACAAATGGAATTAATTTCTGCTAGTGTATGTTATTATCTCTATTCTTGGAAACAGGTTATTTATATTAGCATAATATATGCAGAGAAAATATCTAAAAGTGGCTGGAGAAATGATGATGATGATGATGATGAAAGAACCAAGATTCCAATGGCAGCCAGCAACACATGTCTGAATTGACATCCTATATACTTGCATGGACCTAACTCAGCATTGCATTTCCAGGATTTTCTTAAAATTTTAGGTTAAATGGTGGGTGTTTATAAAAGATGAGAAACACATTATCAGCTAAAGAGTGGAGATGAAGGAAAATGACATTCACAAAATGACAACCTAATAGAGATCTGATATAGCTGCCTCTGGATTCCTTTAATTTCCTTTAAAAAGTTGCATCTTTTGAAAGACTTTCTAAAAAATCTCAAAAAGACTAGGATGAACTGAAATGTTGCAGTCAAACTTCTAGTGCTCAGAATGAGCAAAACCATTAGGAGATCTTGCAATGTTTCCCCCATTTATTTCTAGATCCAAGAATGAGTTGAGCAGCGCCACATGCAAAAACCTGGGAGGAGAGATGATCTGTAGAAAAGTAGAATACAACAAAAACATACAAAATAAATAAAAACAAAAGCATAAATAGCATTAACAGTAATTGAATAAAGATGAATGTTTTTACCCTTGGATTAAAAGTAGAACACATGGAGGTTTGAAGGGATGATGGGGAGGAGGAGGAGATAATATATAGATCAGGGTGGGGAAATCAATTTAAACAAGAGGAAATTCCAACATTCATATATTCACTCTATTTTTTGTGTGTGTGCAATATTTTTCCTAGCCTCAGTCCTAAACCTAACCAAAGTGTCTGAGCATTAGATGCATATATATATTTTCCTAAATTAGACTTAGATAGAAATTTTATAAAAACAAACACAATGTCAATAACAATAACGAAGAACTAGTCCTCACAAAATGGAAAGATAGCTTTTAAGAGAACTCTGAGTTTGTAATACTCTGCCTCTTGTTGAGCAGAGAATGGATTCAGAGTTAGCAAGAAAAAATACGGAAGAAAATAGAAATAGAACAAGAAAAGAAGGTTCACTGTTCATCAGCCATTTGGGGAAGGGGGGCAGGAACTCAAACAAATCTGGGTTTGAAATCTGGAACCCTCCTCCCACATGTTGTACTGTGTGATCTGGGACAAGTTATTTTACTTCTATATTCCTTGGTTTCATCTGTTTATCCAAGATAATCTTTGTATCTACCTTAAAGATGTTTAAGAGCTTTAAATAAGAAAATATATGTGAAGTCCTATGGGAGGGCCTGGTACACAGTGGAGGTATCAGCATAAATTCCCCATGCGGAAGTGAGGGGAGAAGAGCATGGCTGAATGGTACTTCACCATAACAGTGTTTACATTAAAGCTGGTAGTTGGTTGACTAATCCCTTTAGTACAACCACATACATGGGATTCAGTGAAAGAAACATTGACCAGGCCCTCATCGCACTCCCACTGCACTGTAAATGGGGTGATGCATTTGTCTTTGCATGCCCTAGCTAGGTTTATCCTGCAGGAATAACCAAATGAGAAAAGACACCTGCCCAGTCCTCAGCCAGGCCCA